GGGGGGGGGGGGGGGGGGGCGGAAGGGATTTCTCGTCGTGATGAGGGTTGAGGGTTTAGACGCACATGCGTCTGATTGTAAGGTGCCCGCCGCTGGGGTGAGAAAAAAGTTTACAGGCAGCCCGCGCTTGCGCTAGGTGCTTTGAACAGAGCGGCCAGGCTACCTGCCGCGCTTGCTGAGAGGGTTGCTTGCAACTAGGCGACCCTACACCCCACCGACTGGCAAGCCCTTACCTGCAGCACGTAGTTTGGGCGGTGCTGGGAGCGCATCACCTCGTCCACCTCAGCGGGCAGCAGGACACCCTGGGAGAGGAGTCAGGAGGTTTTGGGGGAATGAGCGCAGCCAGGGCTCAGCTGGTGGAAAGGGGTTCGGCTAAGCCACAGCAAGGGAAAGGCAGGCCAGCAGGGCTGGCATCCAGGAGTGTTCGGGGCAGGCGGCAGCCGCCATAAGAGCAGGACGCCCAGCCAGCAACGTCGGGCGACAACAGGGCGAGCACCCCTTCAGTGCCCTCGGTGAGTGGGCCAGGATGTAATGCAATGTCCGTGCGTGCACGCGCGCACACACATAGACAAGCACACACACCACCAGACATCAAATTTGGAGTCAGTCATGAGCACTGCATGTACAGGGTGTAGAAATCAGCATCTTCATCAGCGGGGCCCCTCACGAGCTGCCGACCTGCAGCTCCTGGCGCAGGCTCTTGTCGCGGCGCAGGTGGCACATGAGGGCCTTGGAGAAGGCCGGCACCCAACGGCACAGCATGGCTCGCAGGTCCGGCTTATCGCGCGGTATGTGGGTCAGGCCCTGGGGGCAGGAGGGTGGGTGCGGCGGTGGTACTTGGAGGGTTTGATACTGGATTCGCCGAGGGCACATGCATGCTGCATAGATGTACTGTGTGGCATTCACGTACCCATTAATAAGATGGCAGGTCAGGAAAAGGCAGCAAGAGAACAACTGGGCGGACTGCAGAATGCCGGTTTTGAATCAAGCAGCAGTAGAAGCCGTCGCGCCCATGGCTGCTGGGTCAATCCAGGCCACAATAGGGCACGGAATGGGGCTCCTAACCGCCACTCAACCGCTTGCAATCCCATCTGGCGCACCTGCCGAACAATGTCCCGGGATCGGTTTATTATCAGCCCCCACGTTTTGCGGGCGCCGTCCCATCGCTCATAGCTGCAGAAGGGTCAGGTTTGGGAGGGGCACGGGCAGCGGGCTGCTGGAGACAGCCAGCGAGTGGGAAGCACGACTTCTGTGTGCTCGCGGGGCTGGGCGGGCCAGCGATACAGCGCAACAGGCGATGCGCACCAGCTCGCCTTAAAGGCAGAGCCTGACTGTTGACAATACAATGCGTGCATGGCGCAGATAAGGCACGTGCACGGGGAAAGGCTGCTAGCTGTTCTCTCATGCCCACACGCCCAACACAACACCCCATGTAACGTCCTCGCTGACCTGGCATTGGTGCGGAACACCAGCAGGAGGGACAGCGCGAAGCTGGTCAGGCTGATCAGCTGCGGACTGACGTGCAGGCTGGGCAGGAATGTCAGTGCGCCCTGCCGTGCGGCGAATCGAGCGCAGAGGGGGTTGGGAAACACGCCGTAAGCGCCATCAGCATGAGCTGCATCCACAGCCAACAAGCTCCTTGCACGGCTGGCTTGTTCGTGTCAGCTCCATTCATAGCTGGCTGCGTGCTGTACCTGATGACTGCCTGACACTTTCAGGGGGTGCTGGCGCCCGACTGGCCGGCAGCAGGCGCCCTACAGTCTTTGCAGGTCAGGGTGGCGCACACACGGGGGGCGCAACTATCAATCCCTCGACAGCTGGTCGGTGTTGACCACACGTGACTTTGGGCTTGAGCAGCGGCAACCGCTCACCGTGCGCAGCGCCTCGTACGCGACGACCGCGGCGGCCGCGCCCATGACATACAAGAGGGGCCGCACCAAGTTGGCGATGACGCGGGCGCTGGATGGTTGAGGTGGCCGAGGGCAACAAGGGTCAGTCAGGGTTGAAATCAGGTACCACGGGCCACAGACGTCAAAGCACGCGGGCTGCAGCGGCGCCCCCTGCCACCACGTCCGCCCCCATACAGCCCTCAGCTGGAGGTAGGGACGCGCAAAACGCACCCCCACATGCCCGCTATGTGGTACACGTGGCGTGCGGCGCTGCGGTGGAAGTCCCAGTTGTCGTGGTCATACACCTGTGATGAATGGCGGGTGGCCGGATGGGCTTGCGAGGTGAGGCGTGGGGGTGCACCAGAAGCAGGGAGTGGGTGCAATCTGCTTATCTGCTGGGGGGCGCGCACTACCGCTCCTGGGGCCTTGATGGCTTTGCACTCGCCCTATGGCGGTTACTTGGGTCGCTGAGCCCTGGTGTGATGGGGACTTTGCATGCGTTCGCTGTTCGGGACCTCGAAACCGCAGTCACATTTTGGCAGTCGCAGCGATGCCGGCGGCAGCGCAAGTCGAGCAGCAGCGGCGGCTGTGCCATCCCTTCCCAGAGCACCCACCTGCACCCTGGGGTCATGTGGTGGCAGTGACGCCTGGGCGCGCACAGTCCTCCGGCTGACATGTCTGGGGTGCGCCTTGGCACAGTCATTGGGGTGCGCTGTGCTTCTGATCCTTGCAACATGGTGGCTTGCCCTGACGCTGGTGCACCGTGCCCTTGGACGAGGTGATGGGCGCACCAGCTCCAGCCGGGCGTTGGGTGCCGCAGCAGCAGGGTGGGGCTGGGCGGCGCGCTGCATCCTCTTTGTCGCAAAGCTGGTATGTTTTTCTTACAATATATGCCTACAAACACTGATCACGCCGCTGTGAGGCGTAATGGTGCGCAGCCAACCTTACACGAGTCTCTCGCGTTGATTCGCGATTGTTGGGTGAGCTTGGTTGTATGTATTGCAGTAACTAGTATATATCAGACACGGAAGTGTTCAACATACGAGTGCTACACGGGTCCCTGCAGGTCCCTCCGTTCACGTGGGTCATCAGTGGGGTCGCGAGGGTCGCCAGCTGCAAGAGGGCCCAAAGCTTGTAGATAAGCTCCTGTGCAACAAGCGGCGACGAGGATATCGTACCGTGTGCCGCCTGGTCTGGCTTGGTGTTGGCCCTTGGTGTGCGTGAAAGGGCAGGTGCGGCAAGCAGCTGTAGGTATGCTTAAAGCGATTGGGACATCCCTGCCTGCACCCATTCCACCGCTACCATTCAACACATTGAACCACCCGTGGAGAGGGTACGGGCGGGGATATCCCGTTGTGAGCATACTGCTGCATGCTTGCCACATCTGCGCGGTGTCTGCACTGGTGACTCCTCTAGACGCCCCACAGTGATTGAACCCTCGTTTCTGCGTGCATGCTACCACGGAGTTGATCTACACCTGCGAGGTAGCTTTGATGATTTGTTACAAATGTATTGTGGAATGGGTTTCCTGGTAAAATTCTTGCTTTCGCAACTATCTGCAGAGAAACTGTAGATGGTGCATGTATGCTTTTGTTGGAATCGCCACTTGGCATGATAAGGCAGTAAGTGCGGGCTTGATGGTGGAGGATCTGAGAACGAATGCGCTTCATTTCAGTATTGCCCATCCCGCGCAACCGCGGGCCGCGCACCCAACACGGCCGACCCCCACTCATTGACCTTGCGTGGGGATCTTTGTTCCAATATTGAGGGCCCAAACACAATGTGCAGTGCATGCAGGGCAGACCTGGCCACATGTGAGCGTATTCATGTGCATGTGGCGCAGTGTATGTGCCGCCCGCACTGGCTCCGAACACCGGGAGCCCTGGGCTGCTACATGCGCTTCCAGGTGGCTGCCGCGTCGTTCAAGCTCCCTCGACCTCCGCGGCATGTTGACAGTAATGTGATCGCTTTCTGCGGGACGCATATGCAGACAATGCACCTACCAGCCACGCATCAGGAACAGGCAGCTCTGGCCAGGACTTCAAAGAAAACGTGATTGTGCTGTCTAGAGCGAGGGGGCCCGTAGCAGGCCGAGAAAGAGCACACATATGGCAGATGCGTGGCCCACACATTGTCCACGAGTTGCGGCAGGGGGGAGCATATCATCTGCGGTTTATGTGTGCTCCTTCCTGCACCGTCTTCCTGTTGGGCTAGGGCTGTGCGCTGCAGCGGCTGCCACCTCAGCTTCTAAGGCCGTGCAAGCGATAGACGGCCGCATTACCTGCATCGATGGTGGGGTTGGCCGGGACCCCTGTGGGTACAGGAACCCGCATAATCGAGTTTCGCTCGTCGTCAATCTCTCCGGGTGACCTCACCAGCGGGCGTGCGGCGCTCCGGACTCAAAACTTTGTCGTAATTTATTATTGAGGTAGCATGCTCCCTCTCACCATGGTCGGCCTGGTGGCTTCGGCGCGGGTGGGACGCAAGTGAGTGAGACGAATGCCTAGGTCTTGCGGTCCGACGTCCTTGTTTCGGTTTGATTGACAGACATTGATCGAACTGTTAGCTTCGTCCCGTTCCTTCACAGCATCAGCCAGCACGATCCAGGCTCATCCCCCCCACCCACCCCCCCTTCGTCGGTCTCAATCACTGGTACACGGCCCAGCCGTTCGCACGAACATCAAAGCAAAAATAGAAGCCCCCAACCCCCGACCATGGACGAGTCGGCGCAAGTCTGGTCGCTCACATTCAGCCAGCTTGGCCCAGCGGGCGCCGCTGGGCAACTGCAGCGGTGCGGCGAACTGAGCGGCGACGCCGCCTCCGTCGCATTCCTTGATCTGGTCGACACCTGCAGCGAGGGCGAGAGCCTCAGGTGATGCGCGGGGCACGTGCGGCCGGCCGTGTGGGTGTGCCACGTGGCGAGCGCGCAGCTGGCGCATCAGCCGGAGCGTCACCAGTAGGAACCCGCCAGACGTCGCGCAGCCGTGGCCGCGGCAGGGCGGCCGTCGCGCCCCATTGCATAGGTGCTGGCAAGTCAGGAGGATAGCTGGAGCTCCCAGGTTGATGTGGGCAACAACCCCTTCGCCCCTCGGCCCCTGGGCCATACAGCCATAGTTGGCTCAGCCAACCACCCATACCACACTGTTTGTCCAACTGCTTGATCTCGAAATCAACCCCCGGCCCTCACCCCGATGCCGCACCCTTATCACTTTGATCATGATGAACATAGGGTGTACTTTGACGCCGAAACAGAGTGCGAGGCTGATGGCGCTGCCCTGGAGCCTATGGGCTCCGCTTTGACTGTCATCGACCTCCCACTCGGCGGCGGCGCCACGGGCACCGATGCGGTGGCCCGCGCATGGGCGGCAGCGCAGTGCGCGTGGTACCCTGACGCAGCCTACGTCCGCTGCGGCCGGCCGGGGCACTACCAGGTTCGATGCGCGCGAATCTCTGCGCGCGCGCTCGCCGCCGCCGCGGGCGTCGCCGTTGGGACGCGGGGCTGCGGCCCCAGGCGCGGGGCAAACCCCATTTGGCTTGCGCCCCATCCATGTGTCGGGGGCCATGTGACTGCCAGGCTGCGCCTGTACATTTGCTCAGCATCCATGCGGCCTCCATGCATGACCCAGGCCTCCTCCCTCCGGCCCGCACAACCACCGACACCCTCTCCCCGGTTGCGCCCTCGTGCAACCCGCCAACCGCCACCCCGCAGGGCTGCCTCGTGTGGGGCGAGCCCAAGACCGCGCTCATCCTCTCCGCGCTCCTCGCCGGCCCGGGGCCCCGCGGCGGCGCCGCGGCGCTCGCATTCTGCTACGGCCGCCACCCCGTCGACGCAGGCCTGCTGGGGCGCGGCGCAGGGCGCGCGGCCCAGGTCCTGCTCGAGGTCTCTGCGCCCGTGGATGACCTGTGGTGCCGCCTGCCAGGCTCCGAATTCCAAGTCGTCAAGGGCGGCATCGCGCAGCACCACCAGCGGCGGCTCGCAGCACTGCGCGACGCGGCCGCGGCGGCGTCCGCGGCCGCGGCTGCGGCGCTGGCGTCCGGCTTGGGCGGCCGCCGCGGCAGCGGGGGCGGGCTCGCGTGGGCGGGCGCGGAGGCAGCGGCGGTCGGGGAGCAGCAGGAGCAGGCGGCCTCGCTGGGGCCAGAGGACGCTGGCTCGCCCTTCTCCCTCGGCCTCGCTGTCGCGAGCCTGTCCCTCTGGCGCGGCGGCTCCTGCGATTCCTGGGGCGGCGGCGGCGGCTGCGCCGCGTCCGCGCCCGCGCCGGCGTCGAGCGTCTGCCCGAGCGAGGCGTCCGCCGCGCCCGCCTCATCTCTGACCCCCAGCACGCCGGCGTCGAGCACGCCCACCTACAAGCACGCAGCCGCCGCCGCCTCTGCCGCGCTCGGCGGCAAGCCGAGGCGCGAGTCAGACTCGAGCGGCTTCAGCGCGTTTGCCGGCAGCGCCAGGACGGCGTCAGATGCAGAGGCCTCCCCATTCGCGGCGCTGTGCGACGCGGCGGCGGCGGTCGACGAGTTTTGGGACGAGGCGGAGATGGTGATACTGCCATGCAGGCCGGGGTTCTGACCTGCAGCCCGCTTGGCCGGCAGCCCCGCCTGACGGCCGGCCAGCGGGGGCGGCTGCGGGCTGGTGCGGCCCGCAGCCGCGGCCTTTCGCCACGGAAGGCGAGGGGCGGGCAGCAAAGTTTGACAAAAATGTCTGGGAGCTCGCATTGTGTCGGTCGGGGGGTTTGAGGGGGCACGCGGCGGCGAGGGGCCTGGGCCGGCCCCCCGCCGCCGCAAAGGCGGCAACGCGTGCAGGCCGGTGCCGCGTTTTGCCGTGGCAAGCAAGGCAACGACTAGGGCTCTCGCTTCGCAGCCAGCGCTCGCGTGGCTGAGCCACATCTGCATACTGTGTTTCTGGCGAGATTTGTCCACTGTGTTTGGCGCCGTTGGGACCCGCTGTCGTACTTGTGGGCTGCGCAGCAGCTTTCTTGCTCCCTGGGGCTGCGCCGGGCGCGCGTGTGTCATGGGTCTGAATGGCCGCCATGCTGCGGCCGTTTCAGGGTAGTGGACTTGAGAACTTGGCCTCTGTTGGGCCGGGGTGTGGCGTCGCCGCGCGCTGCAGGCGGCGCCTGCTGCTGTGCTGTTTGTAGTCATTAGGTTTTGTCGCAGACCTAGAAGAGCACCGTTACAGTTAACGTGTGGCGCATCCGCACGTGAACGCATGTATGCACACGCACACTCCTTCACTGAGCTTGGACCCCTGGACGGCGCTTCCTCTCCTTTGTTGCACGCACGGCCACCCACATTTTGACCATGCGAGCGCATTGACACCCCCATGTGCGCGCGCGTTTGCGCTTTGCGCAGCAACTCTTGTGAGTTGTGGATGACCAACGTATGCTGTTGTACAAGCGCGCTGCGCACCACCGATGTGTGCCGCAGCCGCTGCGAGCCTCGAAACCTGAGGTCTCACGGCTGCTTTCCGGGGATGGTATGTGGCGCCAATCGTGGGCGCGTTGTTGTCTGCTGCACAGGCTTACGATCTGGGCGGCATCATATGTGCCCCTGGAGCTTTTTGCCCGCCTCCGCGCGGCAAACGCACGGCCGGGAGTTTGCAGTGAGTGCATTTCATGACGAACGCAGGCTTTTGGCGGGCCAAGGTTTGTCAGCGGGTTCTTACGCTGAGCTTGGGCCGTTTCTGCTCATTTACACGAGAGTAACTCAAACTTCAGACATGGTCCTAGTTTGTGCTCCTAAAGGCTTCGAAATCGGAGCAGGACCCAGAAGGCAGCACCTCGCGTTGATCAGGAGATGATCTGGCAGGCCTGGACTGCTCGACCCAGCAAGGGCCCGCCGTTGCAGTCAGCTGCCACGCGGTTGAGAGCCCGTTCGGTGTCGGGCGCCGCCTGACCAACATAGGTGAATATCTCCATTGATGCAGGACAATGCATGGGTGGCACGGGATGGTGGCTGCGGCGCCCTGCACAGTCGTGCATTGCACGCTCAGCAAGCAACATCGGAACCTGCGCATCATGACAATAGCTGTGGAATCAAGGGCAAGTGCCAGCTTTGATCGAATCAAAAGTTGTATACACATTGCGTTCTTCCAGCTTCGTTTTCGCGTCGACAAGCTCCGGTCCGGAACACCCCGTGAGTGGGAGATCTGACCTGGGGCATCTCCCAGGGCCACGGGAATCAACACATCGATGCAGGCGCTGCTTGTAGGCGGTGTGATCCAACCCGGCCTGCCAGGCGCCCTTTGCCGGGCGCCGTGTCCCTGCACTCAGCCCAAACTGCCCCCAAGTGAATGCCACCCCAATCCCTGCATGCGTACAGGACACCCGCAAACTCAACGCCCTAGCAAGCATGGCCGACCGCGGTGGTGCCGGCAAGGCTGTGGAGAAGGCAGTACGCACCTCGGGCAAGACCAAGGATGAGGTGCGTCACGGCATCTCGGCGCCCGCGCGCTGATCTGGCACCCTTGCAGCCACTGGCATCCGCCGGTCTGACCATGCCGGCTTGGCCAGGCTCTGGCTGTCCTGGGGTCTGCCTGTCCAGCCCACCCGCCTCCTGCATCCCCAAACGCTTGACAGTTGTCCCTGGCTCCAGGCTGCGCACCGCTTAAGCTGCCCTGTGGAAGCCCCCACTGCTGAATCGAGCAACCGCGCGTCCGTCCATCCACCAAAACCGCAGGAGCGCAACGACGTCGTCGGCCTGGTGATCAGCGCCTTGCTGACGGTGGCTGGCGCAGGCCTTACTGGCTTCTTCAGCGACAAGGTGTGATTTTGGGTGCGGTGTTGGCCGCACGCACACTCGCACCAAGTCGTACCCACTCCTGAGTGTGTTGGGGCTGGCTTGCTTGGTGATGGTGGCGTTCGCTCGTAATATCGGCGAATGTGATGGGGCCGGGAGTTCTCTGAGATTGTCATCTTGCGGGGGTTTGCAGCCTGGCAGCCAGTGGCCCACATGTCTGTGCTGGCTTTGCTTTGATCCAAGTGCTTGAGGTACACGCACCGCAGCCGGTGCTCAGCTCGGCTCAGCTCTCTTCCAAGGTCATTTGTGTTGCATTCTCGCCTTGCATGGGTCAAAAGGTGGATTACAGAGCGCAATTTCTTCTCATCATCCTCTTGTTCATCCAGGTGCACAAGAACAGGACCGGCAAGAAGTGATGCGGCGCCGTTGCTCTGCTTGGTCGCCGGCAGTTGGCCAGTCATCTGCGTGGCTGTGCTGGGCCCCACTTCGAGGCGTGGGCCCTTGGAAGTTGCGCTGCTGTACAGGTCAAAATTGCCTGCGACGGGTGGTGGTGGTGGGATAGGCGAAGTAGCAGCAAAACATTATGTGGTCCCAGGAGCGGCGCTGTCGGGAGTGCAATCCTGTTGACGCCCCCAGTTGTGTAGGTTTTTGCAATCATGACCCATGACACACCCCATGCAGATGTAATTGCCGAGCAACAGCAAGTCGTTTATGTGATCAAATATCTTGGGTTTTCAGGAGTTCAGGGCAGCTTTCCCCTAGCAGGCATTTCAATGCATGGTGCCACGTACCCTCCCACACGCCCAGGAGCGTGTGGCACTGCACAGCCACGTGCGTCGGTACCACAGCACCAGCAGCCAGCTGCTACCGTACCGCATGGCGTCAGGCCCTTATGCAGTATCAAACCTCACTGCTAGGTTTCTAAACCACTGCGCACGCTCAGGCTAGGCTGCGGGGCTATGAATCGCGACACCTTCGGCGGCCGCGTTGCGGCCGTCGGCGTGTGCTCTGCGCGCGCAGCATGCCTAGTGTGCTGGTGGGCTCGGAAGGAATACACGTTCGTGCCAGATTGCAATATTGTCGTCTGAATTATTGCGACTTGCAAATCGGAACGCGTCAAAGTGGCTATATCTCGTCGCTCGTTGTGCCGTACGTCGACAGCGAGTTCGGAGCCATGAGGTCCCTCCTTGTTGTCACTCTGCTGGTCGTGTTGGCAATGCGCAACGTCCAAGCTCAGGTTGCTGAGGGGTTTGCTGGCGGGGCAGGCAGGTGGCGCTTTGCCCAGTACCGTACCGCAGGCCCTCCGACGCTCGAGTGACTCCTCCCCTCCACTCACCGCCCACGCTCACCGCAGGCCGCCACCGCCCGCCTGTGCGTCTTCCCGGAAGACAAGGCTGCTGCCTGCTCCACCGTCGTGGCGGGCGTCCCGGGCGTCAGGATGACCTGCGTGGGGGCGCCAAACGCCCAGGGGTGCATCAACCTGGTGACCTCGGGCCGCGCAGAGCTCATTCACTTGCAGGGTGCGGCGGTCACTGTATGATACGAATGTGCAGGCGCCTCCTGCTGGCGTTGATCATTGCATCAGAATGTTGTGCCTGCATCCTCCAGCGTGACCGACCCGCCGGCCGGCGCCACCGGTGTGTGGCGATGCTGTGGGGGAGGAGGACCCTTGGACGCCTCCCGCCCCGGACGACAACACCGCTGAGCAGCAACCATGCAGCTCACACCAGCTCAAACGGAAAAGGTGCACCCAATCACCAGGCTCTGACCCTCACCATCACGTCTGCAGGTGAGGAGCAGTACCTGGCGGGCACCTCGGCCAAGCTCGTGCCCCTCGTGTCCGAGTTCTACGGCTCGTCCGTGGGCACCTCGTACTTCGCAGTGGCCGTCGTTGACAAGGCCTTCTGCGACCAGGGCGCCGGCAAGCTGACGATGGCCAGCCTCAAGGTGAACACAGCATGCACGTGCATGTTTATTTGCATGCGCTTGTGCATCTTTGCGTGCGTGCGTGTGGATGTGTGTGCGTCAACCGTTGAGTGCGTAGTTTTGCATGCCTTGGATCGACGGCGACGGCAGCATCCCAAAACACACGAAGCCAAAACCGGGAAGCCGCATCATCACCACGTCTGCGCCACGCACCCCTGCCGGGGTCGGGCTCTTTACTGGAAGTCCTCCTGTCCATGCTTACCAATTCACCTGTGTTCTCGACCCCCGATTGCCGTTCAGGGCGCCCGCTCCTGCCACACGGGCTACCGCAAGACTGCCGGCTGGACCGTACCCGTGGGGTTCATGGTGGCGCAGGTGCGCGTTCGCACTCGTGCGCGGCTCCCTGCCCTGTCTGCCCTCGCACTTGCGGCTCGTTTCCTGCTACATATACCACCATTTCTCTCCTACACACACCCGATTTCCTCCTACACATACCTGGCTTCCCTCCTCTCTGGCCGCATGCGCGCAGGGCATCATGCCGGTCGTGAACAGCAACGGCGCCGTCCAGACAGACGCCCAGAGTGTCGCCTCCTTCTTCTCAGAGACCTGCGCCCCACGCGTCACCAGCGACGGCCCCCTCCGCGGCGGCGCCGCCTGGGACGGCCTCTGCACGGCTTGCCAGGTGGGCGCGAGCTGGGGTCACGAGCCAGCTGTTCTGCAATAGTTTACTGCACGTGTAAACTAGACACTGGGCTGGTCAATTAAACGTCTTGCTGCAAGCACGTCGCCAAGCGAGTGTATGTGCCCCGCCTGCTGCGCCCGCCATGCCCAACTTGATGGATGCGGGCCACCCTGCATGCATCTGCACATTCTTTCCCTGCTTGTTGCCCCCATCAGGCCTGTTTCCAGACGCTTTTTGCCTGAAATCTGTTCCGATAACCAGGCCAGTCCTGCTCTCATCTTCATTTCAACCCAGCCCTGCACCTTCACACGCACGCCTCGTCATCCATCCTGTCCCCTGGGCCCCAACATGGACATCACTTGCTTTGCAACTGGTTTATATCATTAGAGACACAACAATACACACACATGCTTGCGCCAAGCAAACGAACACCTCACAACACTTCACTCCTGGCTGTCCCCACCGCAGGGCAACTGCTCTGAGACGGGCCCCTACGGCGATTACCAGGGTTCCCTGCGCTGCCTCATGGAGGGCGCCGGCGACGTGGCCTTCATCAAGGAGACAACAGGTCTGCCTGGCGGGCGAGCTTGCTGGGATCGGACGCTGTTTGAAACCTGCGTGCTGCGAGCCGCGAATGATGCAACCATCCAGGCTGAGGCCCATTGCACGCGATCAGTACTGCTCACTCATCTCTTGATTGACGCCGGCGATCCAGTTACCTCAATGCTGATATGCTGCTGCCCGCAACCCGACCATCTGCCGCAATGCAGTGCAAGACTTTGCCAAGGGCGGCCCCAAGGCGGAGGACTGGTCAGTGAAGGCAGCTGCAGACCTGCGCCTGCTCTGCCCCGCTGGCGGGTGTGCCACCGTCGACATGTATGACAGGTCAGTGGATTTTCGTGCGCCTGCGGCTAAATATGTGCGTGTGTGTTCATGATGTGTCTGTTCGGCCATGCGCACATGGCCAAACAGACTGCCTGACTCACCCTCACTGCACATGCGAGTGTGCAGTCAGGGTGAAATCGTGGTATAGCAGCAATGCAAAGGCGCCAAAGGTGTCCACCATTAAACATTGTGATACATGCCACAAACTAGTTATTGCGCCCAACATCTCTCGACATGGTGTTACTCATCAAGCCAACTGTCTCTCCCCACCTCCTGTGCAGCTGCAACCTGGCGCGTGTCCCTGCCTACGCGTTTATGGCCACTCCCGCCTTCCGCGCGAGCACGGTGACGGCGGGTCCGGCAGGCTCAGCCGCCCTTGAATCATCCCACCGATGCCGCACTTGGCCAGCAACTTGCCGCGCGCAGCCCCACACACAGCTGCTAATTGCCTGGGGGTGTGGCTGGGAAGGAGAGGGCCGGGCCCTTCGCGAATCCCAGGAAGGCGTGTGCAGGAGAAGCGTTGCTCCTGCGCCCTCGCAACCTGGAGCCTCAGTTGACCCTCCCCACCTCGTTTCCCCAACCCTGCATGCGCTGCATGGTGCAGGCTGGCCAGGCCGTTGCCACCGCCCTGGTTTCGGCCAGCAAGGCCCCTGCTTTCCTGGCCAAGGCGGTGGGTGCTGGCCTGCTGACAAAGGACACCAAGGAGCTCAGGGTGAGCACGATTCAACTGTTTAATTGGGGCCTATAGAAAGGTGGGACGGACGCGCAGGGTTTGGCTTGCACAGTCTGCAGCAAGAGCTGCGTGTCACAGGTGCAAAACCAAACCGTGCAGTCTGTATGTGGCTGCAAATCTACCGCCCAACATTACTCGCAAAACGTGCTGCCCATGGCAGTGCGTTGTCAATTCTTTCCCCCTGCTTTCCCCTTTCATAACGCGCGGCTGCCTGGCTCCTGCCTGCGCCGTTTGCAACACCTTGTATATTGCCTGCCCCAAATCGACTTTCTGTCCTGTGCTGTACGTCTCTCCCCGCAGCCCGAGGCATCCAGCTTCGAGGAATACTTTGGGGCTTCAACCCTGGCGGCATACGCCTCCATGCGCAAGCTGACAACCACGGCATCCAACGCGCCCAGCGCGGCCCCCTCGGCCAATACGGCGAGCGTGGGGCCCTTGGACGCCTCGTCCGTGCTCGTGCCAATGGCGGCCCCCTCTGGCGGCGGCGCAAAGGGCGGCCTGAACGGCGGCGCGGTCGCAGGTGGGAGGTTGGGCGGCGGGCTGGGGTGGTTTGACGTCCGCGCAGCCCATTGGCAGGGGCGGGGCTTGAGGCGAGGCTTGGCTGGGTCAAGCAGCCACTGTCTCGCCGAACGGCCCGTCGGCAACGAATGCAGCCGACGCTGCAGTGACGTGAAGGGATCCCCACTGCCCACAGCAGTTGTAAGGATGGTTGTAACTGTCCCTTGCAAGATGCTGCACAGAAAGACTGTACTTGTTCAGTGGTTTGCATCAACATCACCGCCGCTTCCACGGCCCCACCCCTGTGCATCTGCAGGCATCGTCATCGGCGTTCTTGCTGCAGTTGCGCTGCTGGCTGGCGGTGTCTGGGCCTTGCGCCGCCGCAGCGCGCGCCGCTCAGGGTTCAGCGCCTATGACACCAGCAAGGGCGCGATAGGCAAAGATTTTTCCGCCCCTGTGTGAGGGTTGACGGGCGTTGCCAGGTGTAGGCCTGCGTGCGCGCTTCTCACCCGTTGGCAAAGCCTGCTGGCTCACGGGCTGCCTGCACAATCAGCAAGGCTTGCCCCTACTCGACCAGTCTTCGACCAGGGATCCCTCGTGCTGCCGTGCAGCTGTTGTCGGGGTTGTTGGGACCTGCCAAGCTGCTGCTGCTGTCGCCCAGGGAGAGGGGTGCATTTGCAACGGTCGTGCGCGAACAAAACATATCTTGCACCTGGCACCACTTTCAAAGTGCCTGTCTTTTTTCCTGAACGAACAAGCTGCGACTCCTGCTGACTTTGTTCCAAAGCAAATCCTGCCGACTTGGTTGCCCCCGCTGCAGAGCGCTAAGGTGCTGTTGCCGCCCCCAAGCTCTGACTTTTCTTTCAAAGCCCGTCCACTTGGTAGCAAACAAAGTGTCCAACCTGTTGGGCAAACGACGCCGACGATAAAACATGTGTGTCCAGGTTGGACAGGAGGGGGCTGGATACAACCTAATTTTATTGCGGGGTGCTGTTAATGTGCCCCCTGCCTTGATTACTTTATCACGCACGCACACTTGCAGCTGTTCAGGTCCAAGGCAACCGTGTACATTGAGTAAAAGTAATTACTGGATGCATCAACTGATATCCTGCTGTATGTGTAGTGGAAAAGCAAAACACAGTGCTGCACACAACGACTAATGGAATGAATGCAGCAAAGCATACAACAAGGTGCATGTAAAGCAACCCACTGCACAGCCGGCATGCAATCCGCCTGCTTGCTTGCAAAATGCAAAGGCTGGGTCAGGCATTCATCCTTGCGTGGGTACAATCAGCAAGGTAATCACCACCACCCCCAGCAAGTCCAAACCTGTCACCAACGCATGTCCCACCCCACCCCTCGCACGACCCATGATCGCCATGTGGCACGTGTGTGCAGGAATGGTGTGCAGGCAGGGTATATTATCAGCAACACAATGATATATACGCGAGCTCCTCGCATTGCAAGGATTTGCATGCAGCAAGAACACAAGCTTCATCAAAGGCGCCGCCAGCCTGGCCATGACGCAAGGGCGCCACCATGCCTACTAACCATGCACAGCCGCAGCAAAAGGGGGGCCAAGGATGCCAAAACGAGCCTCATCGCAGCGTCGTGCGGCGCACAAGAGGCCTCCTGCTGCGGATGGCGGTGCACGTGGGCCTAAAACAGCACGCAAGACTGAGGCCCGGAGGGGGGCAAGGGGGGTTTGGATTTTGCTTGGTCCTGAAAATGCTAAAAGCATCATAAAACCCTGGTTTGAGCGGCCTGCCGACGGGTGCAGGGGCTTTGTGCAGGACCCCAAAACCAAGCGTGGCAAACGATCACGCAAGGGACTGACAGGGAAACAATTGCGGGGCGGGTCAGGGGTTGCTTAATCAAATGTGCATGCTTAAAGGTCGCCCTGATTGGCGCATGGATGGTGCAGGCACCCCAGGGTCTTGCAGGCGCTGATGTCACCCCTCCTCGCTCGTTGCACAGCTCGTGTTTTGCCAGCAGACAACCAGTCAACCATGCCAACGGTCAGGCGCCGCCCTCTAATCAGCCACAAAGCGAAAAGCACAGATGACCAAACAACCCATGTTGCGGGAAATTTGTTTGGATGTGCAGGCGGCCTGGCCGGCGGCCACATCAGGAGGGAAGGGGGGCAAAGGGAAGTGTTGAAGTGCAGAAAGACGAGGGAAGCACAGTTTGCTGTTCCAAGGCCACGCTGGCAGCCACGCCAGCGCCGGTGAAAAAGCCAGGGGGCAGTGACGCCGGTCCATGCGTGGCGAGCTCAGACGCGAGCCAACTGTTCGCTGGCACTGCGTCCGGCGGCGTGCCCAGCAGACTCGCGTCGCGGGCGGTCCGCGGCAAGGCGCGCCGCGTGATTCCAATTCTTTTTTGTGCAAACGTCAGGGGTGCGGCGGTCCCTCTGCCGGTCCGGTGCTGCTGCTGGTCTCGCTGCCCTGACCCGTCGCACCCGCACCGCCGTTACCCAGAGCGGCGGCGTCGCAGCCATTGCCGCTGGGTGTGGCGCGCCGGCCGCGCGCCGGCTGCCGTTTGTCGGCAGTGCGTGGTCGCTGCCGCGGCCGCCGCTGCGGCTGCTGCTGCTGCTGCTGCTGCTGCTCCTCTTCCGCCTGTTGGGTGTCCCGCTGCTCCTGCATTGGCTGAGGTCGCTGCTGCCGCTCCTCATCCCGCTCCTGCTGCAGCGTCTGCCGCGGGGGCGGCTCCTGCTGCTGGGACGCAGCCAGCTGCCCGCGCGACTGGGCCTCGGCGTCGACCTCCGCCCTGCTGCGCGCCCGCAGCGCCTCGAGCGCCCGGTGCAGGCCGCTTAGGGAGGAGACATAAGGGAAGCAGGCCACCATAAATCTGGCGACCTGGTCGGATCGCAGGATCGACCCGTAGATCGCTAGCGTCGCCGCGGCGGAGTTGATGAGGTAATCGCGCTGCACGGCTGTCAGATCTGAGACCAGGCGCTCCTGGGCCTCCACGTCAGAGGCGGCGGCGCCGCCGCACTGTGCGGCGAGGCGCTCGCGGGCGGCGATGATGCCGGCCATGCGGGTGTTGAGGAACTCGTAAAAGGTGAGGAGCTGCTCTTCCTGTGGTGAAGGGGATCCGCACAGGTGTGTTTGTGTGTGTGTGTGTGTGTGTTTGTGTGTGTGTGTTTGTGTGTGTGTGTGTGTGTGCGCGCTTGCGTGCGTGCATGCATGATTTGGCATTGATATGAGCGAGAGCATGCATGCATGCATGCATGCATGCATGCATGCTGCTGTTTAGGTGTCATGATGCATGATTCAGATGCCACACTGTGATGGACTCAGCAGCTCACATGCAAACCGGATCTACTCGGCGGCTGGCACGAATGTTTGTCTTCCACAAGAGCAGCAACCCAGCCGCCACTTCTTTCTTCCCTCCAACCCCCTTCCCCATAACCCGAGCGGAAGCGCGCGCGCCCCACCTGGACGCTGGACAGCCCTATCTGAGCCACGGCCCACTCCCAATGCGTGTCGGGCACCGCCGGCCCCGTCTCCAGCAGAGGCCCGTCGTCCGGCGCCTCCAGCGAGCTCATCAGGATGGACGCAAACGCGGAAGGGGCCGGGGCCGCGCCGCCGCCCTCGCCCATCGCTATCATGGCCACAACCTCGAGCATCTGCTTGAGCTCCGCTTGGACCCGCCGCAGGGCGGCGTCGGCGTCAGGCGCGCCGCTCTGCAAGCGGCTGGGGTCTCGCAGGGGGCGTGCGTGCGCATGTGCAGGGGGTGTGAGACAGAGCATGCGTGGCGGCAGGCGCATGGTGGCTGGTGATGCGCGCGGCGGCGGTCGCAAGCAGTGGTTTGCATGCTGTGGTGTGGCGGCGCAGCGGTTGGTTTGGGGCCATGCAGCTGCTGAGCGAGCCCGTCGCCCCAGCCCGCCGCACGCTCACATCAAGAGAGGGGCGCAGGTCAGTACAAAGCCCCGCAGGTGCCGCCGGAGCGTCGCCGTGGTGGGCTCGAAGCCCGCGTCGCCCGCGCGCCGCGCGGCGGCCGCCGGGCACCAGCCGAGCGGCACGGCCGCGTCGGTCTCGCCGACGCCACTGCCGCTGCCGCTGCCGCTGGACTGCTGAAGGAGGTCCGGCGCAGTGCAGTTGGCGGCGTCACCCGCGGGCGCGGCGTCGTAATCGCGCCTCATCTGGCGTACGTAATCGCGCACCCACTTTTCAGCAACCGAGCCGCCGCCGCCGCCGCCGCCACTGGTTGTGATTCGAGCGCAATCGACCGTGCCGGGATCAGCGGTGGCCAAACACTCCAAGCCTCCCTCGCTACCATCAGGAGCGCTGCTGCCCTTGAGCATGCTGCCAAGCTGCAGCAGCGCCATGGCGTGGCGCCCAACTAGGTTGACCATGGACGCGCGCGTGCTGAGGCGATGCTGCTCAGCAGCGAGCACCTCAACCTGCCGCTGCCGCTGGATGACAAGGCCCTCTAGATCGGTGATAGTCTTCTTGAGAGCGCTGTTGCCGCTGAGCGGCTTCTTGCTCGCCATGCGCGCGATTTCTTGGGTGGGGACCCTTGGGAGGCCGACGGGCCGCTACGAGCCAGCCCTGACTGATACAGATGATGAGATACAACAACTCATCGCTTGAAGTTGGGTAGCAAGCCTTTCGCCATCTCTGAGGGGTCCCAGCCCGCGATCACAGCTTGACAAATCGCTAGTGCTAGTTTTAAGAAGACAGATTGCTCGCAAGCAACAACAAAACTTTGGGTTGTGAAGCGCCACTGCCAAGGCCCGCGCTTCTGCTGGCCGCCGACCACGAAGAGGTCACTCACACCTGGGCTGTTCACAGTGCTCCAAAAAGGATGAGTCAGCATGCGCAAAACGCAGGACCCCCAGGAACCGGGATTACGCATGCGTCAGGGCTGCTATTGCCACAAGCAACTAACGCCAGGGCCGTCGACCAAGTCATGAGCTGTCCCCAGCGGGCCGTGCGGGGCGCAAGGCACAACGCTGCGACGCGTCGCGGGGGGCTGTCGAGCAACACAAATGGCTGAGGGTCCTCGGGGCTCCATGCTGGAACTCTTTGGGCGTGCAGATGAATCATCTGCAGGCATGCCCGTTTTTCAACCCTCACCCTTGCGCACCTGCATGCACCCGAGACCCCTGCACCCTCTGATGTCCGTGATGCTGAGCGCCCAGCAATCTTCAGCAATCTCGCTCCCTTGATTGCGCTCCCGTGCACGTCATTTTTGCTTTCCTCCAGATCCTCACGACGTAAACGAGCGCACTGCTGCGGTCACATGCGCATTGCAATTGTCTGCTTCATTTTAAGCAACTGCTTGCATCACTTTACCCTCCATGCAAACAGGCGGCAGGACCAAGGGGCCCATCTGGTCACACACCTCAAACGCCAAGATATCCAGACTGCACCTGTTACTCGTCGCAGCCCCGCCATAGCACGACTTTGGTGCAAAGCAAACCCGCATGGCAGGTCGCACGGGCACCGCCCAGCCGCAACAGCCGGCCTCAATTTTGCCTGGCAAGATTACCCCGGACGCATGGCCCTCGCGTGTGCACGTCACGATCAAGCTGCGTGGCCGTTGCTGCCGGGTACTGCTGCGCCGTCGGCTGCCGCGGCGTCCCCCTCCTCCCCCTCCTCCTCGTCGTCCTCAAAGCGATCTGGGTCCTCCTCCATCAACTGTGCGGGGTGTTGCAAAGGCGTGCACGGCGTGCTCATGTGATATGCTACAGAAGCTGTGCCGAGCACAATGCCCAAGTGTATTGGTGTGGTGGCGTGGTTGGAAACAGGGTTGAGACGGAGGTGAAATGGCGCGGAGGTTGGCAGAGGAAGAGGTCGTGTCGTTCGTTCAGCAAAAGTGTTCCACACGTCCTGTGGGGGATGCCGTTGCGTTAGGGTGGCTGCAATGCACCCCTCCTGTGCGCATGAAGCAAGCCTAGATATGACAACACCACGCTCCCAGAACCAGCGCGCCGCCCCCGGGCCCGGCCCCTCCAGCCCCGCCCCCTCACCTGGTCGACGTCGTCCCGCAGCCCCAGCGCGCCCTCCGCCCGCGCCGCGATCAGCGCGTCCCGCTCCTCGGCCGGCAGCCCCGCCAGAACCTCGGCCTCGTCGAAGAAGAGCTCGGCCTGGCCGTCGTCTGCCGGCGGGGTAGTAGTATTGGGATCAGAAGTGTCACAGCGTTCCGAGATGGTAGGAGGCCCGCACGCGCCCGGCAGCGGTTTCAAGGGATGAACGTGCCGTCACCGCAACGCGAGCGGGACGGGCCTGGAAGGCGCCGGGCGTGCCACGGGCGATGCATGGCGTCCGCATGGCAGCAGGCCGGGTTGCCGTTGGCAGCGGACAGCATGCAGTGTGAGGGCAAGCTTGTCTGCGAAGCTGGCAGCTGCAGACACACCCACGCATCCAAGGGAACGCAGCAGCATTGCATGAGTACAGACCTTCATTGTCGGAATCGGGGTTGAGCGCTGAGCACTCGCACATCGCCTTAAAGAGCCCCTCCACTGCAGTTGCAATTGCAAGGGGCGTAGGAGGGCGCGTCGGTGCGCACGGCATGCCGCACTCGCGTCATAGCACTGTGGCCGCGTGCAATGACCTGCAATCGCCTTGTCCGGCAAGCCGTGCCGCCAGAGGTGCTGCTGCTGCTCCTGCTGCTGCTGCTGCTGCTCATGCTGCTGCTCCTGCTGATACTGCTGAAGCGGGCACAAAGCGAGCATTATGCCAGGCAAGGGTCCTGGGCGGGCTTGCCTCCATTGACACAACCCGCAACTTCCATCTGAGATCCATCCTTCAGCAGCCCCGCAGGACAAACTTCTGGGGTCCATGCAACCAACCTCCCGGCCTCACCTGCCGCAGCGTCCGCCGGTACCAGCCGCAGCTCGGCAGTGATTTCCTCTCCCTCCTCCCCCTCCTCGCCCCCCTCCTCGCCGCTGCCGCTGCCGCCCTGGCCCCCGCCGCCCCCGCTGCCGCCGCCGCCGAGGGCGCCCGCCAAGCCCGTCATGGGGGCGTCCTCGTCATCGTCCCCCTCGTCCAGTTGCAAGTAAACACAGGGCCGCGGGAAGCTGCTGGCGTCTGTCGATACCGCGTGCATCACGATTTGGGGGAAGCGCAGGGACAGGCCGCGCGCGCCAGGGGCGGCGCCGGACGGCAGCCAGACGATGCGCCTGCGGCATGCGTTCAGCGTGAGAGCGGCGCGGGCGGCGGCCGCGCGTGCCAAGGGGGGCGGCCGTGAGGGATGAGAGCAGCAGACGGCATAATCAGGTTTGTGCTTGGTCCCGACTGCACACTGCAGCAACAGGACCTGGGATGCTGGCTGGAAGTTTGCAACCTCGAGCGCTGCATTGGCCTCTACATTTCGGCGGGCACGGGAGCCATGACCTGCCGCAGCAGGAGGGGGCTTCCTTCTGCCTGCATGATCTAGCCCTACCTGGTGGTGACGTAGCAGGTGCCTGTCCCCAAGGATAACCCTTCGTCGCCGATCGCCGCCTCAACGTCGCCAAATGACGCCGACAGCTCCTCTGCCAGGTCTGTGTCAAGCTCAGGTCGCCCGTCCGCAGTTGTCTGGACGGTCGTTTGGACATCTAGACGATCAGCAAAGTCATCCAGCTGCTGTGGGGTCGCGGCGGCCGTCATCTTTTGCGCCGTGCGATCTGGCGAGATCAGGCCGGCACTTACTGTGCACCACCAGTAATCTTCAACTTTGCATACGTGTCCGCTAGAATCTATTTTTACGTAGCAATTTCACTACCAAGATATCTGCCACGGACAGTTCACTTCAGTGTATTCTGCAGAGCTGCAGCTGCGTTGCTGCACAAGAGTCAGCTGCTGCAGACGCCCTCTTGCCGCACTGACAATGGGCATCCCCTGAAAAGTATGCAGCAATGAATAACAAAGCGCATCATGTCGGCCATCGAGCGCCGGCCCACCCCCTCGCCAAGCACGGCGGCAGCAGCGCGACTGCAGGCACGCCCTCACACCTGGCGGCTAGCGAGGCCGGCAGCTCAGGCAACGGCGGCAGCGGTGGCAGTGGCAGCCCCCCCAAGCTGCGGATCCTCGCGCTGCATGGCAGCAGGCAGGACGGCGCCGTGTTAGCGGCGCGCCTGAAAACGCTCATCAAGAAGCTTTCCAGCATTGCGGTGAGCCGGAGCAAGGCCGACGCGTGACACGCCTGTGTCCCTTCGCTGGCCTGCGCCCAGCGTCCTCCATACCGGCGCCTGCTAGGCCCCCTCCCTAGGGCGGCGCCGCGGGCACAGCACTAATCTCATCTACCCTCCTGCGCGCCTGCAAATTGTGCACCAGGCACCCGCCTGGGCGCACCTGCACCCCTTACCGCCTGTCCCCGTGCCCATGATCAACCCCACCCCCTTCGTGGCCCGCAGGACATCGAGTTCGTCGATGCCCCACATCTTCTGCCATTGTGCGACGGCCAGGCCGTCCCCATGCGCTGCTGGTGGCGCTCCTGGGCGCTCGAGCCCCTGCAAGGCGCGCCCTCAAGCCCAGCCAGCCCTGCCGCCCACGACGGCGTGGGCGCGTGCGACAGCAGAGAGGCGCGCCGGGCGGAAGTCGACCGGATGATGGCGGCCGGCTGGGGCGAGCGCATCGCGGACGACTGGCGCGAATCCTTGGACGTGCTCGAGCGCACGTTTGCCGACCGCGGCCCGTTCGATGGGCTCCTCGGATTCTCCAACGGCGCCGCCGCCGCGTTCCTGCTCGCGCGCCACGCGGCCGCGCGGCCGGTCGCGTTCCCTGGACTGCGCTTCGTCGTGCTTGCCGGGGGCTACCGCCCCGAACCCTTGGCACTCCTCGCACCTCCGAGCCTGCCGAGGGACGCGGCGTCCGCAGCGGGGCCGGGCGGTGTGCAAGGGGGTGCGGCCGCACCCGCCCTCAAGAGTGCTGCGGGTGGGCTGGGAGCGCCGCTGCAGATCGCGTCACTGCACATGGCAGGGGCGGATGATCTTGTCGTGACAGTCCAGGACAGCCTGGATCTGGCGGACTGCTTCGATCTAGACAGCAGGTGGGCGGCACCCGGCTGCTTGGCACGCGCCTTGGCGCTTGTGCAACCCATTTTTCGCCGCGTGCAGCGAGTGCTGCATCCTGGCTTTACTGGGGCCTCAATTTTGCCTGCTCCTGGTCTCACAATCCCTGTGCCCCTTGCGTCCACACCTTTACAATCCCCCTCCGCGCCCATAATACACACCCGCCTCCAGGCAAATTCTCCTGCACGAAAGCGGCCACTGCGTGCCACAGCAGGCGCGCCACTGCGCCGAAGTTGTGGCCTTTGTTTCGCAGTTTTGGGACGGTGGGCCGGCTGCGGCGGTTGGGCCGCACTCACAGCCGCGCGGGAGGGGCCAGACGCGGGGTAGGGGGCAGCGAGGGCAGGCAGATGGCGGTGAGGCGCAGCGGCTCAAGGAGCAGGGTGGGCAGCGACAGCAGTTGCAGAATACCCGGCAGCACCAGAGTCAGCAGCACCAAAGCCAGCAGCACCAGAGTCAGCAGCATATGACCCCACAGCAAGAGCAGCAGCGACGGGGAACGCGGCAACCCCCGGCAACCCCACCACAGCAAACCCAGAGGCAGCCGTCTAAGCAGCCCTTGCCAGTGGGCCAAAACATTGCTGCTGCTCCTGCAACATCATCACCAGCTGCGCCTACACAGCCGTCAGCAGCAGCCACCATCGGGCCCCCGCCGGCCCAAGCTGGCATCGGCGTAGTGCGCAGGTCGGCTGGCGAGGTGGCATCTGTGGCGCCGTTCAAGCCGACAGAGGAGCAGCTGGAGGAGATCGAGGCGCTCGAGGTGCATTTTTGCTGTTGATGACCTTGTTGATCCGTTACTCAGCTTGGATGCTGATGAAATGTTGACCGACTGGCAGCACTCCCACAGCCAGGGCAGCTTCCTCGCCAGGAGCAGCACTGCCCGCATCTTTGCGAGTACACTCCCCCCCTTTCCGGGGACCCGGCCGCAATCATGCCTTCTTGTCCTCCTCCTTGCCCTGCACCTCCTTGCCATAGGCCATCTTCATGTCCGAGTTCACATCGATACAGTCATCGCCGCCGCGGTTTGCAATCAAACTGCGGCAGCCGGGCGCCGGCAGTGATGAGGAGGAGCGGGATGGGGAGCGCGGAGCGGACGCCGGCGCCTCGGCGACAGAGGGGCCAGTCAGCCGCCTTTTCACGCTGAGGTTCACGCTTACCAGGGTGAGTAACAGAGGGGTGTTGGGCACGTGTATGCCTGAAGCCCTGTTTGACACGTGTCTAAAAGAATGTCTTGGACACGCTGTCACGCTGTCTCACGGAGTGTCGGTGTTTGGTCAGCTGATCCGCCTTTTGGCAGCCTGCGGCTGTTGAGTGCCTTAGATGTGGCAGGTGCTCGCCCTCGGATGTGCTTGCAAAGTCCGTGTCTGCAGGCACCTCTTGTTGCGCGGTTTGCAGCAATCAATCATGATTAAAATGATTTCGTGACCTCCTAGCAGCAATTGATACCCAGCCTCGCACCTGTGCCAGAGCAGCGGCACCAGCAACTCATGATTGACCCCATCCAGATCGCGACCCTGACCTTCCCCTCCCCTGTTTTCTTGCTCTCCCCTCCCCAGGATTACCCTGCATCAGGCGGCCCTGTCATCGAGGTTCTGGGGCCCCTGGGTGTCAATGACCCGCGCCGCACGGCCCTTGTGTCGGCGCTGGGTGCCGAAACCACGTTGCAGCGCGAGGCGATGGGCGGCGCCGGCTTTGTATACCCCTTGGTGGCGTTTGCGCAGGTGCGTTTGAAGCTCGAAGTTGAACTGCCGATTGGCTGCGCAGCGGTGCACAGCCCAGCTCGTCTACAGCTCGCTGTGCGTCTCAGGTGATACATGCGTTCCAACTGCCCCAGATGTGAAGGCTGCTGGACGTATCTCCTCGGCAGGTCTGGAAGGCAGCAATCGAGCCTGGTAAAGGAATGAAAGTGCAAGGCTCCTGCGCGGAGGTTTTGCATGACCACTGCGACCCCCCTTGCCTCTGCAGGAGTGGATTGACGCCAATCTCCCTCCTGACCTCGGCAGCCGGAAGGATGGAACAGACGCAGCGGCCGCGGCGACGCCTGCACTGGCTGCGGGAGCCGGGGGACCTGATGACGTGGCGGCTGCGGCGCCCGCGCTGGTGTGGTGGGACGAGGAGGAGGCGGACGGAGAGCTGATCAGGGTCGCGACTGAGGAGGCCGCTGCGGCGCAGTGGGCGGCTTGGCGGGGCAGCGACGCGGCAGTGGTGGAGGAGGAGGGGGTGGGCGCAGACGGGACGAGCTGCGAACCCCGCCAACAGCAGCATCAGCAGCAGCAGCAGCAGCAACAGCAGCAGCCGGCATGGGAGGCGGCGGCCAGCGAGGGGCAGCGAGGTGCATGGTCCTACTGCGTGGGCTTGGTGAGTGCCCATGATATGGGCACTGGGCGGGCACTGCGCTTGGAACAGCCGCACCAGGCACTACACATGGCTGATGCCACCCATGCGGTCCTTCCAGGCACTTGGCAGGGCGATATCTATGGTTGCCACAAGTTTGTTTGCGAGTAAGGGGCGCCCCTTGCTTACCGCAAAAGAGGAAGAGCGACTTTTGCAGGCGGGGTGATGAGAATTCTGGCACGCCGTTTGCTGACTGGACGGCGCCACAAATCTGACCACGCACAGGTTGGAAAGCCGTCGGCTGGCAAAAGCAGCCTATTCAACGCCGTAACAGGTGGGTAGATGCACGCAGAGTGCAGTGCTGTTTGCGAGCAGTTCAAACGATGTCAGTGACAGACACGGTTATATGCATATGCAAGCGGCTGGGCGCAGCGTGTCGCTGACTCCTTGCCAGCCCGCTTCCATGCAACGCATCCCTAAGTTATCTTGTCACGTTTGCCTCCTCCTCCTCAAACCCCGCCTCTTGCTCTTCTGCCAATGACGCCCCTGCCTGCCTGCACCAACCTCTCCTGTCTTGTTTTCCCCCTCTTGCCGTCCCCCCATTCCGGTTGTCCCTTCGTCCCATGACTCCTTTACTCCCTCTTCATGATGTCATAATGACATCTGCAAACCCTCTTCCCACCAGACCCGGAAGACGAGCGCGACGAGGCAAAGGTGCGTGGTGCGTGCGCAGCCCCCAAGCGTGCGCACCTGTAAATGCTGCCCCAGGCAGTCATGGCAGCAGCCCATGCGACCCGCGATGCTTCATGAGCATCACAGTGGTTGCACCCCAATTGGCGGAGGCGGTGCGCGCCCTTGTCAACGCCATGAAAACACCAAGTCCGCGCCACAGGCTGCACACATGATAAGTCACCGCACAAGCCCCACCATCCTACCAAGCTTCCGCTGTTTTGCCACCCCAAACCCCAAGGTTGGCGCCTACCCTTTTACCACCATCGACCCCAACATCGGCCGCGGCTACGCGCTCGTCCCGGACCCCTCCCCGCTGCTGGGCCTCTCCCTGGGTGGGTGCGGCTGGCAGGCGGCCCTCCTTGGCGGCCTGGTTCCCTGGTCGGCCCCCTAGCCTGGCGCCGCTGCAGCCCCTGCGTGCAAATGCTGCCTGTGCGGCTGCAGCTCATCATCGCCAGGCACACCGTGCTAGATGGCGACCCTTTGAAGGGAACGGCATCAACCTCAACATCGAATTACACGATGACATCATGCATCAGCCACGCCACGCCTGATCCGGCCATCCTGCACACTGTCGCTTCTGATCACCTTGCAACACTCCCTGTTCCCCCCACTTTGCGCAGCCCAAGCCAAGCCGCAGTTCGGCTTTGCCCCGGGCTTCGACCCGTCTGTGGCGCCCCCCGGCCTCAGCCGCGTGGGGCCGCTGCTCAGGGTGGCGGAGCGCTTTGGTGGCTGCGGGATGACGGCCTGGAGGAGGGTGCCTGTGGTCATCAAAGACGTGGCCGGCCTCGTGCCAGGTGAGTAGCCCGCCCCTTCATGTGTTCGTGAGCTTATGTGCGCATGCGTGTGCGTATGAGTGTGTGCGTGCCTGCGCAGGAGTTCGCTTGCTTCCATGTGAATGGATGGGTGTGTGCGTGCCTGTTCGCCTGCGTGCAGTATAGAGAAGCACGTGCAGGCTGAGTGCTCATCGATGTTTGTGCTTTGCTGTTGCAAGTGTGCATGGCAAATGCACGCTTGTGCACGTGTGAACCAGGAGCCACACATTAAGCGGTGGCGCCCGCATCACCACTAGACATTCTCATCCAGGGCCTTTGAGGCCCTGCACCTTCCACCCATCCATTCCCTCGCTCAACCGTCACCACCACCCCCCATACCGCACCCCCTCGTCTCCATGGCTCAGAGCGGCCCACCCCACACCCCACCCCTCCTGCTGCACCGAACCCCCAGGCGCGTACAAGGGCCGGGGCAGGGGCAACGCGTTCCTTAACGACCTGTGTGATGCGGACGCCCTCATCCACGTGGTGGACGCCAGCGGCACCACCGACACTGGGGGAGGGGCGGCCAAGGAGGGGGAGGGCGCGGACCCGCGCGACGACGTCAGGCAAGAGGGAGGGGGAGGGGCGTTGTGAGTGGACCAAAGTCTGCACGGCTGGGGCCGCGGCGCCGCGGCCTCAGACGAGGCATCAGCTTAGCGTGCGCCGTGTCTGGGACACTTCATGTTCTGAGTTGAGCATGGGGCAGTCGCTGCTGCCGCCCCTCAAGGCACATGCCGACGCGTGGTTGACCCGTGCTTGGCTGCTGCTGCGCACGATTGTGCATCCCGCGCAGGTGGGTGCGAGAGGAGCTGCACCGCTGGGTGTTCAATAACGTGCGGGCAAAGTGGCCGCAGGTGAGGCGCGCGCCAAAGCCACGGGCCCAGACCCTGAGGCGCGGCGGCCGGGTCAATGGGGGCCTGCGGGCGAAGGGTCAAGCGGGCGACCTGTCAGGCGTGTGCGCCGCCACGCAGTGTGCCTGTCAGCCCGTCCGCCTTGCGGGCACACGGCCCTTTCGTACCCTCACCGCATCATCCCTGTTGCAGGTGCTGCGGCGCCCGTCAAGGCTGATGGACCTATTCTCCGGGTACCACGCTCCAAGGTACCGTTTTTCTTTTCTGGCTGTTTTTTTGATATGATTTACTTACACAAGTGCTTGATTGGCAAGCACTAGGCCACCATTCGACCAACGCAACATATGTAAGGGTCAAGGGGGCGTCACTAGGGGCATCTGCAATCAAACGGCGGCGCGCGTCACCAGGGGGCCGTGCCCCCCTCTGGCCCTGCGCCGCGTTCCCCCATCGCCCCCCAATCTGCACTCTGTTGCTCTGGATCTTGCCTGGTCTGTCCCGCTCAAGTCCAGGTGTGGCCGCGGCCGCCTCCGGCCCCACCCCGCTCACTTCGTCCCACACACATACCCTTTGGTCGACATCTCACCACAGAGCGCATGGCTGCGACTGAAGCCCCCTGCTGACCCACCCCCCCCTGCTCACAACTCCCAACCCGTCTAATACCGTACTGCAATCGGTCAAACAAATTCTCAATCCCCACCCACTGCCGCCCGTAGGTCCCTGGTAGACGCGGTGCTGTCGCACTGCGGTGTGAGACCCGACGCCCTGGCGGCCGAGGGGGCCGGCCTCAAGCAGAGCGGCCCGCCAGGCAAAGAGGCGCTCCCCACGACGGCAGCCCCAGGGCAGCAGCAGCAGCAGCAGCAGGCACATGGGCAGCAACAGGGGCAGCAGCAGCATCAGCAGCAGCAGCGGGGCGGCCTCGGCGCTCGGGGGCTGGAGGGGCGGGTGGTGGCTTACAAAAGTGTGCAGGAGTGGCAAGAGGCCGATCTTCACAGGTGTGCGGGGTAAATGAAGCTGCGGGGTGCCCAGCATCGGGGGTTGTGAGATGGGAGCGCGGCTTTCTCGTTGGGTGCCCCCAATCGCGCTAACACGGGACCTGGTGTTCCCATGCCGATTGACAGCTGCAGCTGCATGTTGACGGCTGCCAGACACTCAGCCGTACACCAGACGCCATCCACCAAGCTCCACAGCCCGCCCAGCCCGGTTGCGTCATTTGCGCTATCCGCACAAGCAAGCGACCTTGATTCGTCTTCCCTCACAGGCTGGTCGCCCACTTCTTGGCGGCGCGATTTCCGATCCTGCTGGCGCTCAACAAAGTGTGTGTTGACCAGGGTTGACCAACCTTTTGACTAATGTCCGCACGCAGCCGCCAGATCGAGCGCGTCCAGTCATCACTGTCTTTCAGCACAGTCACGAAGACATCCCCGGACCAACCTTCGTTCAATTAAACTCGTACCCCATTCGCCTGCCCAGTCTCTTTCTCCTCTCCTCAACCCGCTTCCCACCACAAATAAGAAACCCCGATCTCACCACAAATTCGAAACCCCCATCAGGCCGACCTGCCGTCAGCGCGCGACCACATACCTCGCGTCCTGGCGGCATACCCCCACGACCCGGCCGTCCCCGTCAGCGCCGCCTCAGAGCGCGCGCTCTGCGGCCTGCGGCGCGCGGGGCTGGTGGCGTACACCCCCGGCACGCCCGACGCCGCAATGGTCCCGGGCGGCGGCGGCGGCAGCGGTGGCGAGCGCGCGTCGTCCTCTGCGTCCGCTGCTGCTGCAGCGGCAGCGGAACAGCTGGCGGCAATAGAGGCCAAGGTGCTGCGTCCACTGGGCAGCACCGGGGCTGCGCTGGCGCTGAGCTGTGCTGTGGCGATGCGGCCGCCGCGGCTGGTGTTCCCCGTGGGAGGTGAGGCGCACTGTTGTGTGTATGCACGCGGCTGAGGCCCCACGTCTGCGTCATCACACCCCTGAAATGTTTGACTGTCTCTCAATTTGTGGGTCGCCCTTGGATGCATCCATTGCGAATGCATAATATCAAGTATAAAGGATAGGCGCTGATGCAAGTTCCCAGCCGCCCCTGTTGGGCGTGTTGACTTGACTGTCAAGTCGACTGAGATCGCATCACATTGCCTCAAACGGCTTGCAAACAGCCGCCTCGGAATTCGGATCGCCCCACCAACCCACCTGCAACGCAGACCGCGAGACCTTGGCAGCCATAGCCGCCGGGCCCCGCGCCGGGCGTGCCGGCGGCGCGGGCACCGCGACCGGCGCCGGCAAGGCGCGCCGCGCCGACGGCGGCGCGCCGGGCGTGCTGAGGGACTGCGTTCTGATGCGGCAGGGCAGCCGGGTGGGCGACGTGTACGAGGTGGGCCGGGGACGGCATTGTCCGTGGGCTGGACGCAAGTGGCTCTCTCTTGCGCGCGTTTGGGGCTCTTGGTGCACCTGGGGCAAAGGGATGGTTCAGGGCTTGACGGGTCCCACGCACGTGTGGACTCCTTGTGGCCCCGCAAAGGCCAAGGCAGCGCCACACCGCGAGGCAAGCTTGCCGTGGCCCCGCGCACCGTTTTTCGCGAGACACTTCTGCTCTACTTTGGTGCTGCTTGACGGGGCAGCATTATCACAGCAGACAAGCCACCCAAGTCATGATGAAACCCAGCACGGCTTTGCGTGCCCCCCACTTCACTAGACAAAACGCCATCCATCTTATTCTCTTGATGCAGGTTCTGAAGCGGCAACCCTTCTCCCTGCTTGAGGGCGACCTCGTCCGCGCAGAGTGCAGGGTGTTGCCCAGCTCTGCGCCACCCCCATCCCAGGCGAAGCAGCTGCCGCCGAGCGCACAGCGCTCAGATCAGCAGCAGCAGCAGCAGCAGCAGCAGCAGCAGCAGCAGCAGCAGCAGCAGCAGCAGCAGCAGCAGCAGCAGCAGTGGCGGCTTGCACGGAAGGACGAGCCGCTCGGGCCCGCCAACTGCGTCCTCCTGCTGCTGACAAACCGCCGGACAGCGTGGCAAGCTGCAGCGCGCCAGCATGCGCATTCATGAGGGTATGGGGGCCTGTGCCACATGTCGGCCCATCAAGCTGTCACGCCATGCGCTGTGAAATCCGGCTCGCTTGTTGAGACATTTGATTTCCAAGATTTATGGGATGCCAGTAGTCGCCTTGGACCTACCCGCTGCAACGGCTGGGCTTCCGCAGCGACGAGCCCTGCGACGCCTCATCCGTGTAATCACTCATCGCACCTTACATGAATTAAAACATATAGACAATCAGCGGAGCGACAACAGAGGACACTGCTATGTAGTTTTGCAAAGCGCAGGTACGGTTCGGTAGCGCTTTAATACAAGCGGCGCTGTACGCGCGCGCACGGGGCCGCGCACCCTGGCGGACGGGTCGGCTTGGCCCATACGCTGCCGCCGCCCAGCGTTGCTCACGACGCTGCGTGTATCCCAAGCGCCAACACATGGCGCAGCAGCAGCTACGAGCACTACGGGGACGGCCTGGCCACCGATCAGCACACATTGAGGGCGGCCTTGAGGTGCTGGATACCTGGGGAACCGCCCAGGCCACGAGCGGTGCTGCATAGCAGCGTTGCTGCGCACTTGGGTAATGCCCTCAGCCCAGATGCGCCACTGTCGGCCGAGTGTCGCACACAAGGCTGTGGCAGCAGTCCCGGGCGGATTCTGGCTGCTGCCAAACCAAGCACGCTGCCAAGCCGTGCGCCGACGCGGCCATGTGGAGTGCGCGCACGCGCGGCGCTCAACCCGGTGGCTGCTGCTGCTGCTGCTGCTGCGGCTGCTGCATCCCTGGCTGCATCATATACGCCACGCCTGGCTGTGCCCCCATGGGCCAGAAGTTGACCCCCGCCATCTGCTGCTGCGGAGCGGCGGCCATCCCTGGAATCTGCATGGGCTGCAGCAGCTGCACCTGCCCCATCTGCCCCGGCCACTGCTGCAGCTGCATAGGCTGCAGCCCCTGCATCGCTTGCGGCGGCAGCTGCTGCATCGGCTGCAGCTGGCCGGGCATCTGCTGCATGGGCTGCATCTGCATGCCCTGCATCTGCACAGGCTGCATCTGCTGCATCGGCTGCAGCTGCATCGGCTGCAGCTGCATGCCTTGCATCTGCATGGGCTGCATCTGCATCTGCAGAGAGCCTGCAGAGGGTGAAAGAGTTGGGTGGTGCAAGCCATATTGCAATTAAGCGAGGGCAAGGGCGGTCGGTCGTGTGCAACACACCCGCCTCGACGGCGCCCTTTGTTTGCCTGTTTTGAGCTCACGCATTGGGCAAGATCAGGGCATCACAGCAACACGACGCCATCCAGACCATACAAGCGCTGTTGGAAGGAGGCTGCACGCAGCCCCCGATGCACAGCGCTGCTGCAGCGCACCGCTGCGGCCCCTGCCATCTGGGCACCCCGCGACGCATCTCTAAACCCACCTTGCGGCATCTGGGCAGTCATGAGCCCGCCCTGCCCCGCCTGCGCCAGCTGCTGCTGCCCCGCCAGCCCGGGGACCTGCTGCATGCCCACCCCCTGCTGCTGCTGCGCAACGCCCGGCTGCTGCTGCATCTGCTGCAACTGCTGCATCTGGAGCTGCTGCATCTGCATCGGCTGCATCTGCGGCGCTGGCTGCAGCTGCTGCATCTGGCCGCTGACGCCTACCTGGCCCATCTGGAAGCCGCCGCTGACTGCCATCTGCTGCTGAGGTTGCTGCTGCTGCTGTTGCTGCTGCTGGTACATAGCCTGCTGCGCAAACATGGCCTGCTGCTGTTGCTGCTGCAGCTGTTGCTGCTGCTGCAGCTGCTGTTGCTGCTGGTGCTGCTGCTGCTGCAAGGCGGCCTGCGACGCCTGCAGCTGGGTCCCCATGCCAGCTTGCATGCCCACGGCACCCATCCCCTGCACGTGCTGCTGCGGCGGCAAAGCCTGCTGCTGCTGTTGCTGGGGTGGCGTGCCCGCCCCAGCAACGCCCATACCCTGCATGCCTGCGTGCGCCATCTGTGGCGCGGCGTGCGGCGCCATCTGGGGCGTAAGATGCTGCTGATAGCTCACCATCGCCGCTGGCTGCTGCGCAATGCCCATGCCGCCTGCTCCCACAGCACCAACCATGTGCTGCTGGTGCTGCTGGCTCATGGCCGCGGATGGCGAAGGAGAGCCGGGCGCTGCATGCTGCGGCGCTGCCTGCTGTGGCAGCAGAGGCGTCTGCATGTGCTGCTGCTGCTGTGGTGGCAGCTGCATGTGCTGCGGCTGCTGCTGCTGGGGCGGCGGAGCCTGCTGCTGCGGCTGCTGCTGTTGCTGCTGCTGCTGTGGCGGAGGCGCCGTCACAGCTGCGGGCGGCGGAGCCTGCTGCGCCGCCGGCTGTCCCTGCGAGCCCTGCTGCTGTTGCTGCTGCTGCTGCTGCTGCTGCTGCTGCTGTTGCTGCTGTGCCGCCTGCTGCTGCTGCTGGTGTTGCTGCTGCACCGCGTCCTCGTAGGCTGTGATGGCCAGAGGGTCCAGGATTCGGCCGCCGTACTGCATCAGCACCGTCTAAGGGCAGAGCGGGGTCGGAAGGTGGGCGGGTGGATATGGCGCACGAATGAGAGGGGGCGTCGCGTGCCATGCGAGTGTGCGAGCGAGTGTGTTTGTGAATGTGTGTTTGTGGGTGTGCGTCTGTGCGTGACCGGGTGCGAGGGTCTAGTCAAGGCGGGGGTGGGAAGCTGCATGAGGGCCAAAGACGAGGTCGGGAGCTACATGAGGGTTGTGAGGGCCGATCGCAAACATGGCAAGGAGAGGGTCCCGCTCCTGGTGTCGTTTGGTCTGCGATTGATGGTGTGGGCTCCTCACCGCCCGCTGATGGTGGGAACAAACACCCGCCCTCAGGCGCCCGTCAGCACCAGCGCACATTAGCGCATGCGCGCGCCGAAACCGCGGGGTTCAGTGGACCCCGCGCCGCGTGCGGGCCCGGGGCGCACCTGCGTCAGCTTGATGTGGGTGTCGTGCGGCGCGGAGCGCACGCGGTTGGTGTCGCGGATCTGCTGGCGCTCCGCCATCCGCTGGGAGGCGAACTTGGCGTTCACAGGGGCGACAATGTCGATGTGGCGCCGCAGCACGCCCTCGGGGACGGGCAGGGTGCGCGAGAATATCTCCTTGGCCTGTAGGTTTTTTGTGGCGGGGAAGGGGAGGGTTTTGAGGGTTTTGAGGGGTGTCGTTGGGGCAGAGTGGCGGGCTCTGTTGGATGGTTCCGGTGGTGGACGAGCGGGTGGCGATTGGTGTTTTGGGGCGGCAAACAGTGGTTGCATCCGGGCTGGCTGCTGGAGCGACAGAGGTTGGAGTCCGGGGTGGGTGCAAGGCAGGGGGGCGGGTGCAAAAGGGTGTGCGGAGTCCCTGCATGCATGACTGCGACATGTGTCACAAAAGTAGCCTTGACCCACACGTTTGTAATCGCCTGGTGCCCCTTCAGGCGCAATCAAGGCCCTACGATCGCGCCGACGCGCCGGATGACGTGCCCCCCAGGCTCCCATGTGCGCGCGCCCTTGCCCACCTGCTGCTTGCTTATGGATGCGTACGAAATCAGGAAGCCGTCAGCGCTGCGGGGGGGCTCCTGCCCCTCAGGGACCTGGGCCGGCGTGTGTGTGGTTGGGTGCGTTTGTGCGTTTGTGTGTGTGATAGGGGGAGAGAGCCTCGGATTTCGTTTGGCGTAGGGTTCTCACGCCGCGGTGCCTCTGCATGAATGCGAAGCGCAACTGCTAGCCGCCGTGCGGCGACCCCTTGCCTCCAACGCGCACACACCCACGCACGAACCCAAGCACGCACATAGCACAGTAAGCGCAAACCATCGGTTGCGCATGCGCGCACGCACCTCCATTGGCGTCTTCTGCAGCGTCGCGTAGCGCGCCTTGCACCACTCGGCCCGCCGGCTCACACCCTGAGCACCAGGACCGGGGAGTGGGGAAGCCGGCAAGAGGGCCCGTTGTCGGTCGATCGGCGAGCGCTCGCAGCCGGCGGCGTGCAAGCGCAGTAGCGCAGCCGCTCTCACATATTTGGGGGGATACAACCCGCATGCGCGACGCGTCGCGTCGCGGCGTGCGTGTGAAGAGCGATAGCAGTGGCAGCAGCAGCATTGGGAGCGATCGCGGTCGGGGGCCGGATTGCCGACCGTGGGGGTTACCTGGAGGTGGCTGGCCGCCGAGAGGGTGTCAGCTATGAGGGTCCAGTTGGGGCCGTACTCCACCACCTGGGGGGGGGG